TATTTTAATAACTGAATCAAAACAAATATAAAAAATTATGTTAAATTGAGTGTAAATTAATTATTTTCGTTAATTATCAGAAGTACAAATGGAGTGTGCATCCTTGTACTCCGTTTCAATAAATATTATTTTTGCTTTTCAAAAAAAAAAAAACAAATGAAGTGTGCATCCATATGGTCCATTTTGAAGGGGAGAGCAAATTAAGACATGACGCACCATAGCAAAAGGCGCGTTGTCGGGGTTTGGTGCTTAGAATAATGGACCACTACGACGTGCGAACTTCTTCTTCGTCAACGGCTACAGGTTCAGCCCGTTAAGCACAATGTTTACAATTTATCCACCAACAATTACTTAATTAATTAATAACTAATTGAGACCTTGGGTGTGTTCCATATATATGATAGTAATTAATTTCTAATAATTTGTCGAAATTTTGATGGTTATGTCTGTTTCATTGGGGTCGGTTGGGTTGGTATTAATCGTAGATACGGTGGACCATATATTAATATATAAATATGTGCTAGCTGCTGCATGGATATGTGAATGTGATTACTGAAAGGAAAATGATAATGAAGGAGACATGCCACAACCCACAAAACACTAGCTAGTTGTGTGGGGATCAGTCCATTTTTTTCTTTCTTTAATTTCCCTATATTTAAATCTTTTTCTCAAAAAAATTCTCATGAAAATCTCAACATTCAGTGTAAACCAAATTAAAAGTCTAAATATTCTATTATCTATTAATATTGTTTTATTTTTTTGGATAATATGTTAGTAATAATTACATAATATTAATTTAAAACCGCCTGAGTTTAGAATTAGAATATTAAGATATGCATGGTACCTAGCTATGGACACATCTAATTAAACATCAGAATATTAACTCTATTAAATTGATTTGATGAGGTCCCTTATTGTACATATCAAAACGTGTTCCATATTTCGTTGTCAATCTCCATTACGATTGAGTTTAAGTTACTCTTCCTCCCAACTAATTAACACACATCACCTTATACATTTTTTAATTGAACTACTTTTACATATTTCACACTTGGAAGTTTGATGCACACATGTTGTGGATATATTGAGTTAACATTTTAATTTCCTTTATACAAAGAATAAAAATTTTTTTAAGGAGAAATTAAATTTTAATTTAGAGTACTATGAATTTCTTTTTCCCCTTAAAGCGGAGTACTTTGAATGTTTTGAATGTTAAGCCCAATATTAGAAAAAACTTTGGACAATATTATAACTGAAAAAAATTTAATTCGGTCAAATATTTTAATTGAAATATGCTTTAGTTTGATTAAAAGGCATTTAATGTAATAATTCAGCCTAAAATTATTTTGATAAAACATATTGACGGAAATAAAAGAGCATCAATTGGCGCCATCGTTAATTCAATCAAATATTTTGTTTGAATAATATTAATAATAAAATAATAAGCATTTTGGTTATAAATTTTGACTAAATTAATTAAGTTTTTTTTATTAATTTAGTTATGTTTTTCAATCAAAGATTTTGATCGAAATAACTATCCATTTTTTTTATTTGAATTGTACTAATATGGTGCTTTCTTTCCTAAATTTTTTAATTTTCTATGAAACTATTCCGGACAAAATACTTGACCAAAATTATATTGTTTTGGCTCCAAGAATTAAGTGAAAATTTTTTAATTTTTTGCCAAAATTATTTCAATCAAAATTATTGTCCAAAATTAGATTTTTTTGGGGCTCTAAAATCATGTGAAATATTTTGAATTTTTTTTACCAAAACTATTTTGGTCAAAATTCTTGATCAAAATAGTTTAAATTCTATAAAAACACTTCATGCACTTCAAAGTGTATTTTGCCCATTTCCTTCTTCTTTCTTTCTACTTTGCCCTTCATTCTGCCTTCCACACTTATCTTTTTCATCTTTTCTCTTCCTTTTAACTACTTCCCCTCCTCATTTCTCTTTGCTTCTATCATTTTCTTTCACTTCTTTCTTTTTCTCATCTTCACTTTTCTTCACTTTCTCTTTTCTTTCATTCATTCCCCTCATCCTCTCTTCCATTTTCTTACATTTTCTTTTCCTCATACATTCCTTCCTTTAATTTCATGTCCTTTAATTTCTTTCATCTTCTATCTTCCTTTAATTTTAATCTTATTATTTTATTTTTTTTTTTTTTTACAATTTACAAGTTTGTTTCAATTAATATTGATATCAACTTTATTTTTTGCAAGATTTTATCATAAAAATTAAAGGCATTTTAAAGGAGGCATCTCATTTGGTACTTCTATTTTTTTTTTTCATTAAAATTTTATATTTTTTCCTTTTTCATTAAGTTTCCCATTTAGTTTGTAATTTGTGATTAACTCTTGCTTGGTGCTAAGGGATGGAGAAACTAAAAGAAAAAAAAGTTAGTAATTAACTCTCTACCATTTAGCCTAAACTTAAATATTTTTATAGAATTTTGATTTTTGTTATATAATATTCAATTTAAAATTTTGATGTATTTGGGTTTGGATAATATAAATAGATTTTTAAATACTAATTAAATGTATTTTGTAATTATATAAAAATAGTAATTCTATGTATCCTATAATTACGCAAATATATTAATTTTTTTAATTTAAAAATAATATTTCAGTCAAATATTTTGGCCAAATTAGTCTAAAATAGAAGATTTCGTAATAACATTTTTGGTCAAATATTTTGACCAAATTAATCTAAAATAAAAGATTTCGTAATAACATTTTTAGTCAAATTTTTTATCGAAATTGTCAAACATTTTCAATTAAGATGAAATTTTATATGAATTGTTATTCCATATGGTAAATATTTGTATCAATAATTTAATCAAGTAACTTGACCGAATTGTTTCTTGTCCAGTCAAAATTTTTGTACTTATTCAATCAAGATGCTTGACCAAATAAACTCCCATTTCAAGTAGTGGCCAATTAAGTTAACAATAGATTTGGTTTGAAGTAAATTAAAGGGGAGGGAGGAAAATGGAAGGATGTTGTATCCTTCTATTTCCTTCCTTTCTCTCTCTCATTTGAATAAGTAAATAAGAAAAAATAAAATAAAGAGCTTTCTTCTCATCCCCTCCAATTATTTAATTGGTAGCTAAATAAAGGAAAAATTTCTCCTCTTCCCTCCAATTATTTTGGTAATCAAGTAAAGGAAATTTCTTCTCTCCCCTCCCCTATCCTTCCCTTCCTTTCCCTTCCTTTTCCTTCCCTCAATCCAAATGTACCGTAAAGCTCCATTTCCCTCCCTTTCTCTCCTCTTCCCTTTCCTCAATCCAAACATATTGTAAAGCTCCATTTCACAATACTTTAAACAAATTTTTTTCTCACAATATTTATCTAAAAAGGTAAACTTATTATTTTTAATTAAATTTTTTATATTTTTACGAAATTTAATGAATATATTATATTTTTTAAAATAGTAAAATACAGAACAACCTATAGTTGCAATCATTGTGCAATAGAATGCTCCCAAATGAAGCCTCAAATTAATTGATGTATTAAAAAGAAATTTAAAAAAAGATATTATTATTATTTTGCTTTAAATTTGCATAAAAAAATTATTATGCTTTAAATGGGACAATAAGAGAAGGATTACGTTCGGCTGATTGTTAGAACAATTTAAAAAATAAATAAATAAATACTACATCTATGCAATTACAATTTCCCAAAGGCCTCTGATTTTTCTGTCTCCCACTTGGGGAGGCTGTGACGGGAGGGGTCATGGCCCATGCATGATGGGTGATTGCAGCAAATATAAATAAAGGAAAATTGTACGTGTGTCAGCTGAATATCTTAATTTTTCAATTTTAATTTTAAATATAAATAAGATTATTTTAATTTTTTCTTGTAAAATTTTATTAAAATAATATAGTTTTATAATTTTTTTCTTCTTAATTTTTTAAATATTTGACTAATAAATAAATATATATCTATCATTTATGCAAAAATTGCAAGGACTCAAGACCTTTGAGATATATCTATACACATACAAGCATATTTGTTTGTGGAAAAAAACATATATATATATACATATATATATATACACGCATATATTCTTCCTTTGCCAAAGTATATATCCCCTGCCCGGGCAGGGAATCACTAATTTCTAGACCCAAAGAAAGCAAGGTAGTTGGGCAGAATCGGACGGTCCACAATCCATATCATCACACAAGATTTGATGCACATTGCATGATCTATGTCTCACTCCATATGAAAGCTTGAACGAGAAATTTCAGCCTCATGTTTCGTGTGTGGGGACCTTTTAGGATAGATTTAACCTTTTTTCACCGACCCTGATGGAGAAGAAGAAGAAGATTGATATTCATAATTCTAAGGAGCCAGCTAGGGTTGGCCAAAGACAAGTACCTTACAAAAGAATGACAGGTGGGGTCCATGTGGGTTCTGACGTGGCACGTGAGAAAAGAGAAAACTACCCGACCGTGGGCATCTGATGAGGACTACTCGTCCCAACCCATATCCGCCGGCTTAGGTCGGCCGCCACCACCACTACCCACCTGGCCCGCCCCGCGCCCCGCCCCGCCCCGCCCCTCCTTTAATTTTACTGTACATGTGGAAAATTCTGGTATATATGATTCTTGCATATTTAAGTTATCATATTCGAGTGAAGGAAAAAACGTACAAGGATAGCTAATAATTACCATGATCCAGAATATTAACTTGATCGTGTTTGAGTTTCAATCGGCCTTCTCTCCTTAAGAATCCCGAAACCCTAGCTACCTCACCAATAAAGGTTTAATTGGTGATGGGGACGACTGCTGGGGAGCTAAGTCCAGAATATTTAATTCCGTCGCATTCTTTTAAATTTCAAAACAGCTGAGGATGTTCTGTTAATTGACATATTTTGAATTAATTTTGAAACCATTCTTAGAAGTTATGTTTCTTAGATATTTATTTATTGCACGAAACAATTACTTCTCCTAAGACTCTTAACAATACTGTAAGTCTGTGTAACTGCAATTTTCTTTTTTTGGCAATATTTTAGTGACGTACGGTAGTAAGAGGTTAGTTGCAGCCTTGCAGGATATATTGAGCGGTGTGCAAATTTATTGATCAATTTCATATTAGTTTTGTTTAATTTGTAATTTATTTTAGGGATTGCTTTGTATTATGAGTCTATAATACATTTACAGAAATATGTTGTGATTAATTGGGTCATACTGCACAACAATAAGTTGGATTAGGCCATGAGGGGAGGCAGGAGGCAGGAGGCTCCTGGATTAAAATGTGAGGCCAATCCCTCCATTTTATGAACTAGGTTTTTGCAGGGTTACAAAATCATAAACTCATATACTTATGATTTCATACATATAGAAAATGTATATTAATTTATTAATGATATTAAAATTTTTTTATAAGTATTCATGTATCTTTTTTATAAGTTGATTTGAAAAATATTTTTCTGATCCATATATATACACACAGTAAAATATAAAATGAATTAATACTACTTATATACCCAAAAAAAGAAATCTTACAGTATTAATTTTAAATGAAGAATAAAATGAAAATCAGGCGGAACAGATTAAAGAGACAAGCAACGTATTTTACCAAAAATAAAAATAAAAAGAGCAAGAAACATAAGAGCATAATAGGTGCCATGAAGGCCTTTCCCTTTATTAATTTCATTATAGGTTCCTATTAACCTTTTCCTTTACATTTTAATCCCTCTTGTTTAATAGACTGATCAAACCCAACTTGCAGAAGAAAATAGGTCAAGACAATTTCCTTACAAAAATACTGTTGAAAACCTAAAGGAATTTTGTAACAAATAATAAAACAAAAAGAAAGCACATAAGTAAACCCTCCCTCATCACCCCTTTATCTTTCCATCTCCTTCTCTCTCTTTCTCTGCAACTTCCTTCTCAATATTTGATGTGATTCTCCAACCTTTACAAAAGAGAGAAAGCTGAACAAAACCATGGTTTTCTCATCTGTTCCACTCTATCTAGATCCACCCAACTGGGCTCAGGTGATGTAATTTCCATCTTCGAATTTTTACGCTTCTTCTCCAAAAAGATGCATAATATTCCTATCTTTTTCTCTTATCTTTCTCTTGAATATACTTCATATTTCTTCTTCTTTCTCCTTTCTGGTAGGTGTTTTAGCGATTACAAAAAGGAAGAACTAACTAATCTTTTCCTACTCTTCAATCTGAATGTTGCAGCAACCGAATCAGCAAGCTGGAGCTACCACTACTGATCCCAACCCGCAACTCCCACCACTACCACCGGCGGCGGCGGGTGGTGGTGGTGGTATAGGGTCGATTAGACCTGGTTCAATGGCTGAGAGAGCCCGGTTAGCCAAGATTCCGCAGCCTGAGGCGGCTCTCAAGTGTCCAAGATGTGAATCCACCAACACTAAATTTTGTTACTTCAACAATTACAGCCTGTCGCAGCCACGTCACTTTTGCAAGACCTGCCGCCGGTACTGGACTAGAGGAGGCGCTCTAAGGAACGTCCCCGTTGGCGGAGGTTGTAGGAGAAACAAAAGAAGCAAGGGAAATAATAGATCAAAGTCTCCTGCTGTATCAGACCGCAGTCAAACCGGATCAAACCCATCATCTAGTACGGCACTTGCCTCCACTAGTTGCACTGATGGAATAGGCCACATGGCCCCCGTGGTAACCCCACAATTACCACTTTTACCGCCTTTACATAACATTGGTGACTTCAATTGCGGCGATATTGTAGGATTGAATTTTGGGGGAATTCAGCTTCAGCCACCGTTGGCGGTAGCAAGCGGTGGTACTAGTGGTGGGTCTGTGTTATCATCTGGATTAGTGGAGCAGTGGAGACTGCAACAGTTTCCTTTCTCGAGTAATAATTTGGAGCCTTCAACTGGATTATACCCCTTTGAAGGAGGAGGGGTTGAACCGCCAAGTTATGGTCAGCTCCGGTCTAAGCAATTGGACAGCAGTGCTGTTAGTGTCCCTCAATTGGCTAGTGTGAAATTGGAAGAAGCTCAAGGGGTGAATTTTTCAAGGAATTTTTTGGGATTATCAGGAACAGAAAATGAGCATCAATTCTGGGGTGCTGGCAATGCATGGACTGACCTCTCCGGTTTCACATCTTCTTCCAACAGTACCCATCTCTTGTGATTAACAAAGTAATACCTTCTCATTTTTCTTGGAATCACCACAGGTTTCATCAAAGAAAAGTCGACTCATGAATCATGATAGATCAGAAGTCTAAATTGGGGAGGATGAGAAGGTGATGATCATGACCTTCATCAATTAATTAAAAGAAAACTTAGAAGGGTAGGCTTTAATTCTCTTTTGTTGTATTCCTATATGGTTTAATTTTGTTAGTTAGGTCTATGTGTTCATGACATGAAGGGCTAAAATGTTTATTTATTTAATCAAATGAATTGTATAACTAAGTGTTTTGGTCCCTAGAATTAATGAAAGTGTGTGCAACTTCTTTATAAGTCCAATGTGCCAATTATATTGAACATGTTTATGATTGAAGGAGTTTTTTTTATTTAGTCCAATATTATTGCAGACTTTCTTTGCTTCAGAGATCAATTCTATATCTTCAACACTTTAGCGAGATTATGGATTTTATGAAAATATGTAAGAGTTTTACTTTCTCTCTCTTGCTTGCTTGTTTTCTTTGCACATGCAAGATGCAGAAAACCCTAACTAGGGACGAGACAGAAGAAGAAGCACACGCGCATCCTGAAATTATTAAGTTTCCAGAACTCAAGCCACTGCTTTTTGAGGCAATACAGTACTAAGTGAGCCAATTTCCTTTTCTGCTGCTTTCTGTTTTACCATCAAAGCATTCAAGTCTTGAAATGATGGTGGAGTCATTGCTGCCATGATTCAGTACTTCCCTTTAATCATCCTCTTTGGCAAATATCGAACTCCTAGATTCCCCTTGGTCTCGTGTTATTTAGGAATTTTTACCTGAGGTTAGTTATTTTTTACCAACCCAAGATATAAAAAGGGAAAACGTTGAATACATGTAAGTTTGTGCTCCCATATACTGCCCATCTTGCTTTTGCTTTCAATACTCAACTTTGAGACTTTTCCCTCGAGGAGAGAAAGAAGAGACAGTAATAGCTTTGAATCTGATGATTTTGCAATTAAGAAACAAGTACTAATATGCATAAGAAGTAGTTAAATGGATTGGATTATCTCGTTATACAGCTAAAGTAATAGTCATTGCATGTATTTCTTAAATCTCTTTCTAATCTGCTATGATTACATGCCGAAACACCTAATTTATATAAGTTTTGTGAGACATTACCTAGGGACGAAGCCAATGATTATGCCATTATATATATGGAGAATAGGTACCGACTTGTTGCTATGCGCATAAATTAAGAAGGGCAAGTGTCTTTTTTTGGGGGGGGGGGGGGGGGGGGGGGAAGAATAACGCCAAAATTCCACTCAAAACCATGCAAAGGATAGATACTCGGTTTTTTGTTTGGTAAAATTTCCAACGTAAGACACAGGGATAAGAGACCCGACCACATAGTCAAAAACAGAACAAGAAAACAGTCTCAAAATCATTCAGACTGGACACCACCTTCGCTTTTATCCTTTTGTTTGGTTTTGGGTTTGGTTCGATCTTACAGTATATATGATACAGATAATGATGTCATTGATTTACATAATGAATGAAATCTTTTTGGGTTTTTGATTATAAAAGAGAATGGAATCTGGGTTTTGGATCTGCTTTTGCAAAAATCGAGGCCATAGCTGTTTTACTAGTAACATGGAATAAAGTTGATCTCTTTATGTCAGAAAAAAAGCCAACTCTCTCAATTAATTTATATTTCTCTCTTCAAGGACAGAAGTGCTGAAGGGATGGATATGGCTTAGTTTTTGGTGGATGGGTTGATGAGATTAGGATATACAAAATTAATTTTCGAAATGAAATGAGATATATACTATTTTTTTTCTCTTTTTTTTGATAAAAATAAAAATTAATAAATTAATATTATTAAGAATTAATAACTAAATATTCAATTTTCAAATTTAATAAATAATTTACTTATCTCAATAAAGCATGCGATCATCAAATTGAAGTTCGAGGTATATACTATCAATCTAAATCTAAAGGAGGAGAAGGAGGAAGAGGGGGAGTACAGAATTTTGATGAGCTCGGAATTCCATTTCCAAGGTTGATGCCCACATGGAAATACGTAGGCACTAGGCGTGAGAGGTTCCCTCTGTTTCCATGGCAGCTTTGGCTTTTGATACGTCTCTGTTAATGTTATCTTTCTTTTTCTTGGCTGTTAGATTCCCAGCGCTATGTCTGTGTGATTGTATGTAGGGCCTCTCTAGCAAGCTGATTCCTTAACGCGGAGAGAGATCGTTCTATGTTAAACTTGTAATTTAGTTGATTTTAACTTGTTTATTATATCAACCTGACTCGTAGGTCAAGTGGCGTGAATCACATTTGAAAGTTTTTATTTTTCTTCAAAAGTAATAGTTTTATTGATTTTATGATAAAAATGTTAAAAAAAAACTTGTTTATTATATTATTATAAGAGAAAAATACATATTAATTTTAATTTTTATAAAAAAAATTAGAATTTAAATTTTAAAAATATTATCTATTAATGATTATTTTTAAAAATTAATTATTAAATTTAATATTTCATTGATATAAATCATGTATATCAATTTTTAAATTAATTTCATATATATTTATAATTATTTAATCAAAAAATTTACATTTTATAATATATATTTAATAATGATAATTTTTTTTAATCAATGAACCAATTATTTATATTCAACTAATTTGAAATTTGATGTACATAATTTATAGAAATAAAATACCAAATTTAATAGTTAATTTTTGAAAATATTTATCAAATAGTGGTGATTTTGAAACTAAAATTCTAATTTTTTTAAAAGTCGGACTAATATGCATTATTTTTTATTATAATTAAGTACATTCTCTAAGAAATTTAAAATTTTTTTAAATGAGAACACTATTTTTTAGACGTATCAAAAGCACTCTGATAATGAGTACTTTGAAAGTGAAATCCATGGGTCAAAATTATTAAAATATCTTTAATGAGTTAAGATGTGAGAGAGTTTCATTAAGAATATTTTAATAATTTATTATTTAGATCGAAAAACACATTTTTATTTTTTAATAGTTTTCAAGAAAATAATTTATACACTTTTTGATTCAACATATTTATTAATATCTATTAATTTAGTTATTAAAATCTATAATTAAAAATTTTCTTCCCTTAAATTTAAATTTAAAAATAATAATTTTTTTGAAGAGTATGTTAAACTTAAAAGTATAATAATAATTATCTTATTTTTATAATTCATACCATAATAATTCACAGTTTAACTTGAAAAACACATTTTTATTTTTAAATATTTTTTATAATTCACACCATGACACTAAAGTATATTTGATATCCCTTTTTCATTTCCTAGGGCCCCCATAACACGTTTAAGGGAAAATAATCTTGAATCAAAGGCTAACTAGTACGGGAAAAACTTGAGTAATTAAAAAGTTGAAGAGGGTGATTGAGATTGCACTAATAATTTGTACTCTTCGATAGTTCGATTGATAACCTTAATTATATTTATGGCATACACAAAATCATGATATAGAAGCACTAAAATTTGGGTTATTCTTAATTACGAAAGGAAATATACCATATGAAACAAGAAAATATGTCGTCTTTCTTAGTCTTTAAAAAAGAAGAGATAATTTTGACTAAAATAGTTAATCCCCATTGTTGGAATGATGTGGCCATGGAATGATGCACCATACCCTTCAATTCTGCTGACGTCTCCTCCCAACATTTGGCATTGGGTGGAATATGACTCGGTTTAAAAGACGTCAATTAAGCAATAATATTGCATCTAGCTAGCAGCTGGACAGTGATCAATTGGCTTCTTTTTCATGATCTTTCTCTCAATTCATATTTTCCCCTCAATTTCTTCTTCTAGCTGCTTTAAATCAATCTCAAGAATTAGCACCAAGCCTTGTAAATAAATTAGTTGGTGTATCCAACACCTTAACATGTATCAAAATTCAAATTACGATATTAGTATGTAAATATCTCTCTACCTCTACGTTCAAATTGTAATCATTCAAAAAAAAAAAAAAATCAATTTCAAGAGTTCAAACTATTAGGATAGTTAGGCTCCGTTTAATTTAATTATTAATAATTACAACTTCTTGTTATTTTAAAGTCAATAAATAAAAGTGTTTAAACAATTATTAACCATAAAATATCTTTTACTAATTATTTTTATGAATAGTTAATCCAAATAGTACCTTAATTATCTTCTTAACAATTAGATATTTTTTTCATACCTTTCTCGACTTTTAATTTTAGCTAAGATCAACTGTAACCAGATCATTTTCTTTTAATATTCAATAATTTCAAAGAGTGAAGAGATATCTGCATCAGTGGCCTTTCAAGGACTCAAATTGTCTGGTAATAAAAACAAATGGATGATTAATTAATTTTTGGATAGTTACATTTTCTAATGCATATATATGACAAAAAGGAAATTCATGATATTGTCAACTATTGTGAATCTTAATTGGTGCAGAGAAAGATCCCATAATAAAATTTATGATCCAATTGTCCTTGTATGCAAGACACAACTCTTGACCAAGAATTAAAGATACGTACGTTTCAAATTAAAGAGTTTAAGCAATTTGCATTAAAATCCAAAGGATATAACATTGCCTTAATTATTAAGTAATTTTTCATCCCCATCACCAAAAGGCAAAATCCCCTGATGCGCAATCATGAATAAATTAAGCAGTCAGCTGTTATTTTTGACTGAAAAGCTTTAGTCCAATTGAATTAGTTGAATATCCAATCATATATATATATATATATATCTATATGTTTACAGGGTATTTGTTATTCTTATCTTAGTGGAAGTTTGATTAAAGGATAATAAGAGATTTTTACCAAAAAAAAAAAAGAAAGGATACTAAGAGACTGAAAAAGCAAAGAAATTTTGGTCTCAAAAAGTGGGGAAATGTGAAGTATTCTTTCTTTTCTTGAAAAGAAAGATGTGAAGGTAATAGGAGGAGGTGTAGGGGTCTTAGAGGCCATTGCAAAATAAAAAATAAAAAACCTTTAACTTTAAAAAAGAACTAATTATTAATAAATTTAAAATTTTCTATATGAATTGTGATAATGTGAGCAATGTATTCTTATAATAACTTAAAAAAGAATTAATGTCTATATATTTAAATTACTTATGCATACCTAATTGTCTAAATAATAAATAAATTAATTAATTAATTAGTAGCTAGCTAGCTACTATTGAAATTTTTTTTTCTCAATGATTATAATGATCTTTGTGGTTGAAAAAAAAAAAAAAGAAAAAGAAAAACCTACCGTAACATGGCTCCACTGATACCATTTTGCTTTTTGTAAATTGTCTCAACTCTCAAGTCTCACTTTATTCTAATTAGATCAGCCTGCAAAATTTTGGCTTGATCTCTATTTTGGGCCTAGATAGGTTTATAAAGCCAAAGCCCAGCTCATTTTCCTTTGGATTTTCAATACCCAAAATTCTTGACTCCACGGGCCAATTTCAGGTACCTGGATTAATTTAGTGATTATAGCTTAATTCGGATCCATTATCTCCTCCCATGCCCTCCCTAAGATGGTCTAAAATTCTTATCCATTTTTTTCATTTGCAGCATTAAGATAACTCAATGACATTCGGGCCTCAGCCTACCCCTAAGGTATAACTCAATGTGAACTAAAAAAAACAGGGCATAACCAAAAAAAAAAAAAAAAAGGAGACATGGTAGAGTTTTGTCACATTATCAAATTTTTTTTTTTTTTAAATGTTGTATAGTTGTGGAGTGTATAATACTTATCATTGGATGAGAATTGATTCTCTTATGTTAAAGGCTATTTCATTCAATAATTCTCATTTTGTAGTTTGATACAGTAAAAATTTTAAAATAAAAAATTGATAAAATAGTATTATGTAATTGTCACATTAAACCAAAAAGAAAAAAAAAGACATGGTATAATTTTGTCGCATTAATACATTATTAAAAATTATCATGTGTAGTAATTTTCATTTGTTAGTGAAATGGATCAGGGCTGATTTGCCACGAAACTTTTATCAGGGACTTATCTGTCGGTGGTGATAAAGTCAGGATACTTATATACCTATTATTTCAAAAATAAAAAAACTCGTTTTCATCTTCCTCCTCCCCATCGAGCATTAGGTTATTTTCAACCCCAATTCCAGATTCCAATTCCTCTTCGGTCCTTGGAAATTTCAATCGGGATTGCGATGGGGAAGAACGATTTCCTTACGCCAAAGGCCATCGCGAACCGTATCAAAGCCAAGGGTCTCCAGAAGCTTCGGTGGTACTGCCAGATGTGCCAGAAGCAATGTCGCGACGAGAACGGGTTCAAGTGCCACTGTATGAGCGAGTCCCACCAGCGCCAGATGCAAATCTTCGGACAGAATCCCGATCGCGTCGTCAGTGGCTATTCTGAGGAGTTCGAGAACAACTTCCTCGACCTCATGAAGCGCAGCCACCGCTTCAGTCGCGTCGCCGCCACCGTTGTTTACAACGAGTTTATCCACGACCGCCATCACGTCCACATGAACTCCACCCAGTGGGCCACCCTCACCGAGTTTATCAAGTACTTGGGCCGCATCGGAAAGTGTAAGGTAGAAGAAACCCCGAAAGGTTGGTTTATCACCTATATAGATCGTGATTCGGAGACAATGTTTAAGGAAAAGCAGAAGAACAAAAGAATGAAGGCAGAGATGTCGGAAGAAGAGAAGAAAGAGCGCGAAATTCAGAAGCAGATTGAAAAGGCTGAGCAGTTGATGCCTTCAGATATGGATGATGACAAGGAGAAAACAGAAAATGCTGCTGTGAAGGAGTTAAATTTAGAGAATGGAATGAAGATTGGGTTTTCACTAGGTTCAAACGCGGCTAAGAATCATAATAAAGAGAAAGGGGAGAATTCGAAGGCTAAATTAGTTTTTGAGGAGGCTGACGATGAGGAGAAGAAACAGAGGAATGAAAGTGCTAAGGATGGGAAGAAAAGGGCTTGGGAAGAGTTGATGAGGGAGGAGGAGAAGGCCAAGGAACGAAGTAATAGGAAGGATTACTGGTTATGTGAGGGGATAATTGTTAAGGTGATGAGCAAGGCATTGGCAGATAAGGGGTACTATAAGCAGAAGGGGGTGGTTAAGAAGGTTATTGATAAATATGTGGGGGAGATTGAGATGCTTGAGAGCAAGCATGTTTTGAGGGTTGACCAGGAGGAGCTTGAGACTGTTATTCCTCAGATTGGAGGGTTGTTGAGGATAGTGAATGGGGCGTACAGAGGATCAAATGCAAGGTTGTTGGGTGTGGATACAGAGAAATTTTGTGCAAAGGTGCAGATAGAGAAGGGTATCTATGATGGGCGAGTGCTCAAGGCTGTTGAGTATGAGGATATTTGCAAAGCTGCCTAGTGAGTTCAAAATAGACTGCTATGAATGTGTTACGAGATGAAGAAGAAGAATGTCTTATCATCCTTTTTTTTTTTCTTCAAAAGATTTGAACTTCTTGACAATTATGGAATGCTTCATATTGATGTGAGTAAAAATTTGTACTTTTTTTCTTTATGCTGATTTGCATGGTTTTTCCTTTGCCTTTTTCTTTTTCAATTTTCCTTCAAAAGTTGTTTAGTTGTGACATAGAAACGTAAATGAGCCTTGCTTCCTGTTCAGTATGTTGCTCAGAAATGTTATCATGTAATGTAACAAAATTGGTACTCTTCTAGTGTTTAGAGTTTACTGGATGTTTAATAGAAATTACTAGACTACCAGAGACATGGAATTGGTCTATTGTCTTTATAAAATCTGTTGTTTCCAAACGGAAGTGGGGTGCATATGACTTCTTTTAAGCTATGGAAGTTGTAACATGTATTGGATATTAATCACTGAGTCAATCCAGACTGCAAAACAGGGATGTTTGGATGGGGGAGGGCCCCCTCATCCAATGGTCTCTGTTGTACAGTCTGGACTGTACAACAATTTGTTGTTAATCATTTTGAATTTTGTTGAATCTGCTTCAGCTTCATATAAACAACCTTATAGTTGGAGGTTTGGGATTGGGAACATTAGACTTTAAAAGTCTGCAATTGGAAATTGTTAGGAGTTGCTTTGCAGAGTGGAATTTTTTTGAGGAGAGTGTAGATGGTATGGTGTTTCAAAGACACTGAGAATGGAAAGAAAGAAAGTTGAAGTACTTAAATTGGAATGATGTAGAACCAGAAATTAGAGGACTTGTTTTTGAGCCAGGTCTTGATGGTTGAACTTGGATCGTACTTAACACATCTTTTACATGTACAATACATATACTGAAGGATATACATGGTTGTGTGCACGAGTGCTTGTGTGTTTATTTCTGGGAAGTATTCATGAGGACATGGGATGGCTCTTGCATTAGAGTTGGGCCAAACTTAATTAATTAGTTGTTAATAGATACAATTATACATGAATGGCATGGCCTTTATGGGAAGGCTGGGTTTTGCCACACAGCCTATACTTCTATCTTTTGGCTTTTTGTCGTTTTAATAGATAAAATCTCTAGTCTATGAAATGAGGGGCCGCTGTTCTCCTTGCCTCCTTTTCCTACTGTTTAACTTATAGCTGAATTATCTTCTCACCAATGAATTGCCTGTTACAGCTCTTCGATGGGAAAGACGGAAGGACTAAGTATCCTCTCCGATGGGTAATCCTGCTCCCATTCCTGTAGAATCTAGTTGATTTGATCCTGTTATTTGTTGGTGTCTTTGGTACCCAGTTTCTAATTCAGGATGTCAAGTTGAAGATGGACTGAAGATCCACTCTTTCCAGTTACGAACTCAAGGTCACTTGTAATCTGATTAGTGTCAATCTTTTGTTCAAACAAAGTATGCCGTTTGCATCAATGAGGGTGTTCATTTTACATATTTCATTTAATCAAATTATAAAGGGAAAGTGTTGAGGATCTTCTTAGATTGGTTTTATTATATTCTTATTGCTTCACCTACTCTTTTCTTACAACTTTAGTGTATTACTTGGAACTAGGCTGTCTATTAAGTGCAAAATACATGATGGCATTGTCGTGAGATTTGATTGTTGACAACTGTTGTGGGTTGGGAAAACATATGCTGTACTGGAACTTAATAATGAGACCGCTGCTGTCATCAAAAAAACAATTTTTTTTTTTTTTAATTTTCCGAATTGATAACTCTTTCTACCAGAAAAATGAATAAAACGCTCCCATACAATTGAATTATTATGAATATTTACTGTGGTTTTCTTAATGTGAACTGTAAGTTCCTTACGAGGACTCATAGATGAACATATGATTGAGACTGATAGAGTAATAGCAATATGGCAAGAATCCGAAGGAAGCCTAGTACTAGCAGCAACTGGACTAAAGAACACTAAAAATCTTGAGTTTGAATTGTGATTTAGACACAAATGAGATGACTTTCTTATAAATATTAAAGGAGAGAAAAATGAGGAAAGAAAATGGTTAATGTAACATGTGGAAATCAAATAAAAAAATCAAACCCTATTCAGCACGTGGTGTTCTACTAACCACCTTAATGCGAAAAGTGCTCAGACATTTAAAACTTAATTTCTGTACCTAGTTTCTCCTTCTCGGAAATTCCTTATTATCAAAAAAAAAAAAAAAATCAAACCCTATATGAAAAAAAAAAAAAATGGGAGCTTTTTAGCCTTCAGAGAAAAAATGGAAAAAGAGGAAAAATGTGAAGCCCAAAATGGTCAAGACGGTGAAAAAATGACTGGAAAAGCGCGATAATGAGCCCATGACGCGTTCTATGAAATAAATCCAACGGCCCACATGACATCTGGTGCCTTCATATATACTGGACTATTTCTTCATCTTCTCTTTCAAATTCATCGGCCCTCGGTTGCTGCTACTCTCTCTCAAATCTTCCGTCGCACACACTTCCTCTGTTCAAGGTCATTTTCTTCCCCCCTCTCCTCTTCGTTATCGCTTAGATCTGGTGGTTCATCGCGGTTTTTGGCTTTCTTTTTGCCTTTGTTTTTCTCGTTTTTGGGCTGTTTAGATTCGTTGCTGCTGATGATCTTTTTTTATAAACAATGACGTCGATGTGTAGTTTTAGATCTAATGTCTGGTTTCCGTTTCCCTCTGGATTTTCATTTTCATTTATCTTTGTGAATTTCTGGCTATTTTTTGTTAGTTTCATTTGCATATTGTAATTGGATCTGTGGAATTGCGAATTGGGCGCTCATTCGAATGCTGGTTCAGCTTATGCTTTCATGGAAAGTTAGGAGAAAATGGCGAGAAATTGTGATGAGATTAGGAATGTTTGATGTGGAGGGAAGCAGAGTTAAGACTGAAGACAGTTAAGATGGAATTGCATGCTTGCTAATAATCAGGGGGGAAAAAAAAGGAAGTTTGCATTTTTTTTCATGATAAAATGAGTTGTTAAAAATGAGATGCCTTTGTGTAAATTGGGAATGCTATTTTGTTTAAAGTGCTGATGATACAATTGGGCATTGTCATGTAGGCTAAAAATGAGTATTATGCATTTGACATCATATTCTGTTTCTTGCTTGGTTAGCATTGAGAAAATATGTGCACACATACATTTGTATTGTACCTTTGTCAGTCTAGTTTTTCTTTTTATCTTTTGGTCTGATTCTGTTGGTCATACTGGTGCTAATTGATTCAATGTAAGAGAACATTCTATACCAAATTATGGAATTTTTATGTTAGATGGTGGGGATGAAATATTCAGAATAAAGAGGGGAATGGGGAATTTTTATGTTTTGCTGGGTATATATACTTTCCCAGAGTGATAAATTTTTATGTGGCAGGCAGTAGAAAATGGCAGATGGTGAGGATATTCAGCCACTCGTCTGCGACAATGGAACAGGAATGGTTAAGGTAATTATTTCGACCTCTTTTTTATGTTAAACTTAACCCTTTGCTTTAATCATACTAAGCTTTCAATAAATCGTCTGGTTTCTATCTTTTTCCGATGTAACTAGATATTATGTTTTTCCATAGGCTGGATTTGCTGGAGATGATGCTCCACGAGCTGTGTTCCCTAGCATTGTTGGTCGTCCTCGTCACACTGGTGTAATGGTTGGCATGGGCCAGAAGGATGCATATGTTGGTGATGAGGCTCAATCTAAAAGAGGTATTTTAACCTTGAAATACCCCATTGAGCATGGTATAGTGAACAACTGGGATGATATGGAAAAAATCTGGCATCATACCTTCTACAATGAGCTTCGTGTTGCCCCAGAAGAGCACCCAGTTCTCTTGACTGAGGCCCCTCTCAATCCTAAAGCCAACCGTGAAAAGATGACCCAAATTATGTTTGAGACCTTCAACACCCCTGCCATGTATGTCGCCATTCAGGCTGTTCTTTCTCTTTACGCCAGTGGTCGTACAACTGGTAAGAACCTTTTGCTCTTGACTTCATTTGTTATTTGAATATTTGAACTTCATTTGTTATTTGAATATTTGAAAGGGATTGATATGAAAATTTCTTCAAATACCCAGAATCATGCCCAATGACTAATTTCTTATATATTACTTTGGACAAAAGCTGAAGCAATTGGATTATTAACACATGATTTGTATTTGTTGTAAAGGTATTGTGTTGGACTCTGGAGATGGTGTCAGTCATACAGTCCCCATCTATGAGGGGTATGCCCTGCCACATGCCATCCTTCGTCTTGACCTGGCAGGTCGTGATCTCACTGATCACCTTATGAAAATTCTGACTGAACGTGGGTATTCCTTCACCACCACAGCTGAGCGTGAAATTGTAAGAGACATGAAGGAAAAACTCTCTTACATTGCCCTCGACTTTGAGCAGGAGTTGGAGACCTCTAAGACCGGCTCATCAGTTGAGAAGAGCTATGAATTGCCAGATGGGCAGGTGATTACCATTGGTGCTGAACGTTTCCGGTGCCCAGAGGTTCTCTTCCAACCATCCATGATAGGAATGGAAGCTGCAGGCATCCATGAGACCACATATAACTCCATCATGAAGTGCGATGTGGATATCAGGAAAGACTTGTACGGTAACATTGTCCTCAGTGGTGGTTCAACCATGTTCCCAGGTATTGCTGACAGAATGAGCAAGGAAATCTCTGCCCTAGCACCCAGCAGCATGAAGATCAAGGTCGTGGCTCCTCCTGAGAGGAAGTACAGTGTCTGGATTGGAGGCTCAATCTTGGCTTCCCTTAGCACATTCCAGCAAGTAGGTTTATTTCTTTTGCATATGGCTGTACTTTGATTTTTACTTATTAAGTTATTGGTATACGGACTGATTTTGGTCATTATTTGAGTGCAGATGTGGATTGCAAAGGCGGAGTATGACGAATCCGGTCCATCAATCGTGCACAGGAAATGCTTCTAGGGTGTTTGAAAGTTCTGTTTTTATTTTTATGGTGCATCTTGTACTTGGTTTCTTTCTAGCTTTTGTTATCCTTCTATCTTTGTTCATGTTGGAGTGATGATATGACTTAGAGAAGGCAAAGAGTTTGATTGTTGTCCAATTCTTTCATTGCTATTTAAGTTGACAAGTTTTTGACTGTTTACATTCCTTCTCTTTTGCGGCTTAGACTAAATCCCTAGCCGTTTCACTTTCTTATTTACCTGCGTTAATTTGAAATTCAAAAAGTGACTCACCATTGTAAATCTATACATGATCCTTTGGATTGCAATACAATATGGGCTTTCTACCTCGGAAACTACTTATTTTCTCTACACTGAAAACCAAGTTTCTCTATTTCTTGTTCATATTCGCGTATCTTAATTTTGTGCTAACATATTGGTATTCTGTTCTCCTTTTTAAAACTTTCCCAGAGTCATTTTCCTATTGATTTTGATGATCAGCATCGTTAGAATTGCTTCTCCTCCTATACCATTTGGAGGAACCGAACTTCTGATTATATTATAGTACAGACCTTTGAACGGTGACCCAAACCTTGGGAAAATTGAATTGTAAGCATTACCTGTTTCGTCGAATGGGGATCCTCAAAGAAAACGGCAGCTTTAACGTTGGCGCAGTTGTATTTTCTTCTGTAAGCTTCGAAAACGATTGCAGAGGCTAAACCAAATAATAGAAGCGGCGCAACCGAAAGCTCCAGGATCGTCCATGGAAACCCCACTTCGAGAATTGACAGACCGATGGAATCTTTCTAGTAGGACTTAGGAGGACTTCGATGATATGGATCTGATCTCCAGACCATATTACTTATAGAGAAGTTGGGAAGAACGTATTGGGTGGCCCGTCTAGCTCGCTAGGTAGAGCGCAAGGCTCTTAACCTTGTGGTCGTGGGATCAAGCCCCACGGTGGGCGGTTGTGTTGATTCATACATGTTTTTTCCAAATTTCTTCCTTTGTTTGAAGATCAGACACGAAATTTTCGTAGGGTCAACCACTTAACAAATAAATAACAGGGAAAATGTTATTGAGATAAACATTTTATTTAATTTTTTTATACAATTTAACGTATTATTAAAATAATTAATTTTTTTAATTCATATGAAACTTGTAATATTAAATGCATTTACTTATTTAATGATATATAAAAATTATATAAAAAAAATAAGATAAAAAATTATCTTTATAATATTTCCCTAAATAACAAAAAAAGAGGAGTAATTAACTAATTATATACCGTTGAAAAGAAACCTCTTTACTGTAGGTTGACAGTGCCATTTCAGTTGGAAATGTGCCTAAAATTTCGGTAATTAAATCGTAAACACTCTGGATTGCCTTAAAATCAGAACATTAGCTAGGGACAGTCCCGGATCCCTCGAATGTACCTGTCAAAAATTTTAGAAACCCTTTTTATCCACACAAAATTTTAACGAATACCATTTTGAGAAACTCCATTTCTATTCTCAGATTTGCTGAAATTGATAATCTGAAGCTGTAGGCAGAATATATGATCAATTCTTGGAACTGATGGTGGGGACTTTCCTGTTCAGTGTACAGGATTCTTGTGAAATGTGAACCGCATTCTGTGTCTTTGAATGGACCAGACCACCCCAATACTAATCTGAGGAAAAAATCACATTCATGTGGAAAAAAAAGGGTGGTTGAGTTGGGATGGGACCATCTCATGCTTGAATGATTAAAGCCACTTGAAACAGATGAGCAGAGAAAAAAAATGGCGTTGTTATTGCCACCATTCAAATTTTAGTTTTTATTTTTAAGTAATGCCTAAAAAAAATTAGTTTGATGATTAATTTTAATTTATTAATTAATAATTAATAATTATTTTTATCAAATAAATTAATTTAAATATAATATTTTACAATTTGAATGAATTTAATATTTTTGTTAGTATAGCCTAACCTTGCCGGAAAAAGGAAAGAGGCTTCTTTTCTTTTTCTCTCACATTCTTGTCTCAAAAAGCCTTCTGTTTGGGTCCAGAGATTGGTCCTTCACACTACTTTCATCATGCCAAACAATCAGTACATTATTCCTTCCAGCTGAAACATTTTCCTTTTCTCCTCCTCATCCTCATCATTCATCACCATCAGACTCACATTCATTCATCATAACATCATGGATTTATATGCTATATAGTATATACACATTAATTTCATCATATTCTTTGTTTTTAATTTGTGAAGGAAGAACCTTTAATTCTCTCGAGGAAATTTAACATTATCCTAAGAGCAGCCATTATAAAAATGGTTTTTAAGAGTACCATGAACTGGGTTCTGCAACCCATTTTGCATATAAAAATGCTTCTGCTACCCATTTGGCAGGATGAGCTGACCTAAGGAACAGCTTGGTTCACGGGTTAGATCTCGGCACAATTCACAAGACAACAGTGTTATCGACAGAACAATTCTGCACGGATTTGAGTTCTGAAAATTCAGGTTCTGAATGTTAGGAATGAACACTCAGCTCTGATGACATTTGTTGATGAGGCTGGACCTAAGGGAAGTTCGCATAAGATCCAATTCACATATTTCGTATCTTGAACTCAAAAGTATAGACTTGAACTCAAAAGATTGGTGTATACGAGATCTAAATCTAACATCTGAACCTCTAGCACTGAATTTCTTATGCAACAAAATGAAACACAACATGAAACTGAATATGTTTATCACAGAAGATTCAATACTCACTGAAAAAATAGAGCAGAGCAGAGTCAGAGAAATTTGAGCTGATGCAAATGAAATAAGCATATGATCAACATGTACAAAATCTTAATTTACTGTGGAAAGAAACCAAATTTATTGATACTACAGATTTGTCAAGAGAAGAAAATAAAGAAATGAAAATGAAGTAATAAAGATCCCCAACAAATGAACCAATTAATTCTGCACATCACAAGCAAAGTATTTTAAACAAGAGTCAATTAAAGAGAGGACTGATATTTGATAATGAGGAAAAGAGACAAAAAGATAAGAAAAATGCCTAATGAGCCATGGCAACAGGATGAGAATAGTTAATGCTTCTCTGGTTAGGCATGGCAAGCATAGCAGTATGATCTAAGAAATCATTGAGATTCACCACAGACTGCAGAATGGTTCTGAGATCATCAGCACATGAGAAACCGATGTTGCCGACTCGCCTCACGGCATAAACATAAAAAGTGATGCACCCTTTTCTGAACTTGAATCGAGCCATCTCGCACCCACTTAGCCCTCTTATTAGCTTCTTGTTCACTTCACCCAGAGGAATCTCCGGCAGCCATATTCTGTCCACGGCTTGCTTCATCGTCTCAGATTCGAAAACAAAGAGGAGAACTTTCGATTTCTTTGTACCCAGACCAAGAGTCAGAGTATGCCAGGCATGGTGCGCCAGGATTGTGAAGTTCGTGGGGAGAAAAGCCGTGGTAGAAGGGAACGGAAGCTTGTTGCCGTTAGATTTATTATTTGTCAGAGGAAAAGACAGCAGCTTTAGAAGCTCAAGAGGCCGTGCGCGGCGGATTGTGAATGATTTTACGACGAATTGGCCTCCGAACCTGAGCCCCTTTACCTCGGAGCTTGGCTTGAAAGAAAAGTCCGATGCGGGTTTGATGGTTTGGTCGTTGGGGTGTTGGTGCTTCTGCTTCTTGTTCTTCTTCTTCTCTTCCATTTGGTGGTGGCGGCGGCGGCGGCGGTGGCGGTGGAGGAGGTTTAGCAGTTATGCTTTCTATGTGTTTTGACAAAAAACCAAGCTGAAGCTTTTGTTGGAATGATGAGTGTTAGTTTTTCTTTCACCAGCGAGGTTAGCTAGCTGGATTTCTTGTGTATGATAGACTTGGGGTCAAAAAGACTAAAAGAGTGATACCACTTTACATAAATTTTATAAGTCATTCTTTAATAATTTTACAAGTCATTATTTTATATTATCATTTTTAGTGACGGTTAATGTGCCAATTTATTACTAATTTAAAAAAAAAATTTTTTTTTGACCAAGTAGATAGTTAGGAAGTTAGTAGAGTTAGTTAATTAGCAGTTGGAATTTTTTTCAGGAAAGTGAAATTTGTATAATTTTTTTTTTTAAATGGTGCCATTCTAAGTGTAATTTGTATAATTTCTTTTCTTTGAAATAAAGGTAGGTTTTCTCTAATTGTGCTGTAATTAAAATATTTTTTTACATTCATTTATGTTAAAAATTATAAAATTTAATATTTTTTTTATCACTAATATTATATAAATTATTTTTATTTATTTATTTATTAAATAAATATCAACTCTTATTTTTTTTTCCAAATCAATTAATGTAAAAAAGTATTGTTAAGCCGTGCGGCAAAAGTTAAGAACACCTATTAAGTAAACTGCTGAGGGCAAGCTAAAGTGGAATAAGCAGGAGAGGGGATGCAACTTTTGCTCTTTTTGAACTAGGGATCTTGTTTGTGCCCATCAGAATGACTGAATGATTTCCCACCAAGAGTGAAGATTGCCGAATTTGTATTTCTTTCTTTACAACTTTTCTGGCATAATATAAATCAGATTTTAACTTTAATGTTAGATTCATTCGGAAGAAATTGTTGTTTTATAGGTATAATTAAAATTTAAGTTTTGAATTTAATATCAAAAAAATAAATTATTGATATGAGAAATGTATTTTTAAAATTATTTAAATAAAAATTAATTTGTAAATACAAAAAACTAATTTGCAAACATTTGATAATCCGAATAAAGAAAAAAAAGGAAGAGGTGTTTTGAATCTTTTTGA